GTCTGTGTATGGACATGTATAGGCACTGCACAACATGGGTGCACTTATACATACAAAAAAATTAAATGAAAAAAAATTAAAATTTCCTTAATCTGCTCCTTGCACTGCAGTTAAGTGAGGGTATTTTTGTGGTTGTGCTCTCTCAAACAATGGACCAGGTTCTTGTTCAAGCCCCAGTACTATTAAAGGGGGACAAGCTGCCTGTGGTGACGCAGTCCTTCCATCTGAGCAGCTGGGAGGACTGAGGGAGGAGCACCTCCAGCTCCAAGTCAGCCTGGGTTCTAGAGGAAGATCGTGTCAGCAAAAGAATGTTAGAAAGGAGAGCGTTGGCACATGCCTTTAATCCTGGCACTCAGGAGGCAGAGGCAGATGGGAGATGGAGGCCAGCTTGGGCTACAGGAACACATTATCTCAAAAACAAAACAAAAATAAAATGTCAGAGCATTAAAAGAATGTCCAAACCAGGTAAGGTGGTACATGGTCTTTAATCTCATCACTGGGGAGGCAGAGGCAGGCAGATCTCTGAGATGGAGTCCAGCCTGGTTTATACAGCAAGGTCCAGGCCAGCTAGGACACAGGGAGACCTTGTCTCAAAAAGCCAAAACCATTTAAAAAAAAAAAAAAAAAAATCAAATTAAAAGAATGTGGCTAGATTAGCATGCCAAGTGTGATGGTACTGGTGCTCCCTAATCCCAGCACTTGGGAGGTCAAGGCATGAGTTCAAAGCCATCCTTGGCACCATACAAAGTTCAAAACCAGCCAACTAGCTTGGGTTGCTAAGAGTTCTCAAAAAAAAACCAGAATTGTGCCTGAAGGCTGTTAGATTATAATCTAACTGCTGCTTCAGGAGAACCAGATGCTGCCCTTAGAGAAAGGCCATTCCTTGCCCTGAAGCTCTCAGGGGAGAATTGATAATAAGCAAGATTGCCTGTGGCCTTGCAGCTGTAAACTCAGCCCCCACCCCACCCCTTGCCAGGACCTCAGGTAGTTTTTATCCAATTCCTTCCTAAGTGACTCTGGTTACATAGTTTAGGTCACATGGTATAGAACCTTTACCAACGTGTCCCCCAAAATATAAAAGAAACTGAAGGATTTTTCTTCCCTTTCAGGATTCCATCACGCAGCCTATGGCATGATGCCATAGCTCTGATAAAGTACTTCTTTAAAAATAAATGCATTTTTGTGTGAGAGAGAGGCATGTGGACATCAGAAGACAATTTGCAGGAGTTTGTTCCCTCCTTTTACCATGTGGGTCCTAGGGATCAAACTCAAGCGAAAATAATGCTTTTGAAGAATAATTCATCCCTGCTTCCTTTCTATTGAATCTACTATTAAGATCTTTTATAGATTGTGACAATGGTTACCTTTAATGTATCTAAATGAAATGTAAAATTCATTGTCCTAATCATGTAACTTTAGAAGCTAAAATACTTCTAAAATATTTGTATTTTATGAGTGTTTTGCCTGCACATAAGTGTACCACCTGCAGTTGGTGAAGTGCCCAGCGGCCAGATGATGTCGGATCCCCTGGAGCTAAAATTACAAAGAGCTGTGAGCCACCATGTGAATGCTGGGGACTGAACCCTGGTCCTCCAAGAGCAGCAAGTGCTCTTAATTGAGCCATCTCTCTAGCCCCCTGAAGTACTTTTTTTTTTTTTTTTTTAACTTATTTGAGGCAGGGTGTCTCCCTATGTAGCTCTGTCTGACCTGGAACTTGCTATGTAGAACAAGTTGGCCTCAAACTGACATAGTTCCACTTGCCTCTGTCAAGATCTGGGATTAAAAGTGTTCACCTCCATGCCCAGTTCCTAAAATACTTTTTAGACAGGGTCTCCTGTTGCCCCAGTTGGCCTAAAATTTGCTATGTAGGCCAGGCTGGCCTTGACCTCACAGAGATCCTCTGCTTACCTCCATCTCTCAAGTGTTGGGATTAAAAAAGGCCATACGTCACACCCAGCCCTAAACTAACATTTTTGGTTAAACTAACATTTTTGGTCCTTTTGAGAGTCTCCCTGTATCCCCAGCTGTTCTGGAACTCACTTTGTAGACCAGGCTGGCCTTGAACTCAGAGTTCCACCAGACTCTGCCTCCCGGAGTGTTGGAATTAAAGGCGTGCGCCACCATGCCCAGCCCCTAAATTATTTTTTTAAAAGCTAAAATGAAAATATTAGCTGGGTGTGGTGGCGCAGGCTTTTAGTTCCAGCACTTGGGAGGCAGATCTCTGAGTTCAAGGCCAGCCTGGTCTACATAGTGAGTCCCGGTACAGCTGGGTTACAGGGAGACAGTCTCAAAAAGACCCCCCCCCAAAAAAAAGAAGTTATGGGAGCAGTGAAATAGAAACCCACAGCTTGTATTACAACCAGCTAGAGAATGTAATGGGAGATATTTCAACACAAAAGGAGTTGAGGAGGAAAAAAACCTGCTGACAGTATCTTTATCTGCTGACCCATCTCACCAAGCCCTGATTATTTCTGTGCTTTTTATTTTTTGGAGATAGGGTCTCATTAAGAAGCCCTTGCTGCCCTGGAACTCACAATGTAGACCAGACGGACCTCAAACTCCTAGGCTCTGGCTGCCTCTGGGTGCTGGGATTAAAAGACATGGGCCACCAGACCTGGCCATATCATTGAAGATACCAAAAATGAGCTACGTGTGGCATTGCAAACCTTTACAATTTAATTATTTCAATCTTACGTGTATGAGTATTTACCTACATGCACACAAGTGCACATGTCTGTGCCATGGTTGAGGACGCCAGGAGTGTTGGATCCCCTGGAACTGGAGTTACAGATGGTTGTTAGCTGCCCCTGTGGGTGCTGGAACTAAAGGTGTGTACCACCTTGCCAGTTTGTTCCTGTCTGAGAATTTAGTATATGTAAAATACTTCGAGAACAATGTCTCAAATGTAAACTACAACCATAACAAAAAATATATCTGTAGAATACCCAAGGGCATGTATAATGAACCTTGTTCATCCATTTATTATATATGTATGTTTTCCCTATATGTAAGTACACTTATGGCATGCAGTGTCCAGAACAGGATATCGGATCCCCTGGAACTAGAGGAAAAGATGGATGATAGTAGCTATGTAGATGCTGGAAACAGAATCTGGGTCCTCTTGAATAGTAAGAGTGCTCTTAACCACTGAGCCATCTCTCCAGACCCCTCATCTCATTTATAAATTAATGAGATTGTAACAAAAATAAGATTGTGTGTAGTTTTTACTAGTCAGTAACTTAAATTCATACAGAAAATTTGCTAAAGATGGCTTTGCTGGACTAGAGAGATAGCTCAGTGGTTAAGAGCCCTGGTTAGGCCAGGCGTGGTACACACCTTGAATCCCAGCACGGGAGACAGAGGCAGGCATTTCCAGGCCAGCGGGAAATACAGGGAGACCCTGTCTCAAAACAGTACTGGTTGACAGCACCCACGTGGTAGCTTAACAACAGTCCATAACTCCAGTTCCAGGGAATCCAAAGCCTTTTTTCTGGCTTCCACATGTATACATGTGGTACACATGTATACATACAGACAAAACACTCATATATAAAACAAAACATAAGGCTCATGCTAAATGTCTCAGCAGGTAAAAATGCTTTGCTTGCCGCCAAACCTGACACCTGCGTTCAATTCTGGAGACCCATGTGGTAGAGAACTGACTCCCACCCCTCCCCACCCCCCGACATACCCACAGTGGCTTGTGTATGCTTACATACACATAAATTTTTTAAAATTTAACTTAAATGGGTCAATTTTAATCAGTTCCTCTGTACACTTATTACTAACAAAATAAAATTTACTTTTATTGCAAATTTCTGAAAAAATGAATATTTAATGATCTACTCTATAACTTTCTAACAAAGTTATTTGAAATTCTATTCACATTCTTTCAAGTTATTGAGAGTCACTGGGGCTTCCTTGAGTCAAATCAAAATAAAGGTATCACAAAGTCATTCCCATACATTCAAACTTCATATACTCCTGATAGTTTACTGCTGGCAAGTTTGGAAGAGACCCCCAGCACCAAAAAAACAGGAGAAATAAATACATCATGGAACTCATGTATAACTATTCAATCATCTTGAGGTACATACAGATTATTCAAATGATTGCTGTACAGTGTAATCGCCTATAGCTTTCTCACCAGCTGCATAACATTACCAGGACTAAGAACAGTGTCAGATTTAGGCCTAAAATCGACTTTTTGTCACTAATCACATCCCAGTTTAGCATTCTCAGAAGGATCCCATCCCTGATATGTACAGAAGGTGCAGGTGCATTTGAATGGCTCGCTTCTTGCACCCTGAAAGAAATTATGAAAAAAGTTAATTGAGATATTGTGCTCCAAAGAAATAGAACAAATCCTCAAATCTATTGTTTAGTAAGGTAGCCTTTTAGCTGGGCATGGTGGCAAACATTTTTTATTATTTTAATATTTTACTTAATTCTTTTTATTTTCTGTATGCGTATATTGCCTGAATGTATGTCAATGTCATACAGTGCCCATGGAGGTCAGAAGGAGATGCCAGATCTCCTGGAAATGGAGTTTCAGACAGTTGTAAGCTGGGAATTAAACCCAGGCCCTCTGCAAGAGCAGCCAGTGCTCTTAACGGCTGAGCCATCTCCCCAGCCCTATTTTAATTAAAAAAAATTTTTTTTAAGATAGGATCTCCCTATAGCCCAAGATGGCTTTGAGCTTGATATGTAGGCTAGACTGGCCTTGATCTCAGACATCTACTTCTGCCTCCAGAGTGCTGGGATTCAAGGTATGGTAGGATATCAACTTGGTCTACACAGGCGCTCCAGACCAGCCAGCCTACAAAATGAGACCCCTGGCTCAAAAAAAGACAGCCCTTGCCAGGGGTGGTAGCGTCTGCCTTTAAACCCAGCACTCAGGAGGCAGAGGCAGGCAGATCTCGGAGTTCCAAGCCAACAGGGGCTACAGGGAGAATCCATCTCAATTCCACCTTATGTAGGGCACTCAGTCCCCTGTAAAGGAGCAACAATTGGGGAGCACTGGGATGCATCTCAGTAGTATAGGTGCTAATGCACAGTGCTCTGGGTTCTATCCACAGCACTACAGAAACTTAGAACTTAAAGGTTGATTGAAATAGACTGGTCTCAGCTGGGCATGGTGGTGCACACGTAGTCCCAGCACTTGGGAGGCAGAGGCAAGCGGATCTCTGTGAGTTCAAGTCCTGCCTGGTCTACACAGTGAGTTCCAGGCCAGCTGGGGCTACAGGGAGACCCTATCTCAAAAAGACCAAAAAAAAAAAGAAAAAGAAAAATATACTGGTCTCAAAAGTACACCAACTTGGGGCTACTGCTGGTAGTGTGCTTGCCTAACATGCAGAAAGTCCAGGCTTGATCCTCAGTCAAAAACTGGGAGTGGTGTGTAATCTCAGAAGGTGGAGGCAGGAGGATCAGAAATTCAAGATCCTTAGCTAAGTGCCCTCACGGGCTACATGAGACTGTCTTTAAATAAGACAATACTGGGTATATAACTCAGTGATAGAACTTGTTTTTACCATGACAAAGTCCTGGATTCGATAACTAGCACTTGATTTCTCCAGAATTCCTGGGGTCTGGGGACATTCAACCCAGTTCCTCTTCCCTTTTCTCTAAACAGAATCAAGGCAGATGCCCAGTCACATGTATTAACAAGAATACTTACCTGATCTCCCTTGAGAGCAGTGCTTCTTAGTTTTTTTTCAATCTTAAAGAGAAAAAAATTAAAATTATGAAAAAAGAAAGTTACATCTACTATGGGATGTTGAGCCTTAAAAATATGTCACTGCTGGGGCTGGAGAGATGGCCCAGCTGCTAAGAACACTGGCTGTTCTTGCAGAAGACTCAGGTTCGAATCCCAGCACCCACATGGCAGCTAGCAACTGTAACTCCAGTTCCAGGGGATCCAACAGCCTCTTCTGACCTCCGCAGGCATTGCACGACGGGTGCACTTACCTACATGCAGGCAATACGTGCATACACATTAAAAAAAAGTCACTGCTGCAAACACGGTGGCAGAACAGTAGATTCCAGTAACATTTAGAAGGCTGCCCCAGTTTAAGGCTAGCCAAGTTTACATGGTACCAGTCTAGCTATAAGAAAGACCCAGTCTCTAAGTTATTCTTGTGTGGTAGCTCAAGCCTATAATTACAGCACTGGGGAAGGATGAGAACAGGAGAACTGTGGACTGAATTAGAGGCCAACCTAGGCTACATCGAGACTGTCCATTAGTCACGTGTCATCCCTGGTGCTGGGAATGCTGTCAGAAGATTTCTGAACCTGTCCACATAGGCAACTCACCCGGATCAATCTTTTCATTTTTGCCTTTGGGTCTTTCTGCACTGACAATAATGTCCGGACCCCTCTCTGCTTGGGAAAGTCATCTCTACTCTCCTGAACCACTCTTTCCTTTTGGTGCTGGACCCGAGGACGATCCTCTGGTGGAGGGTAAGGAAGTTTGGCAGTAGGGCTGAGGGTCAACTTGCGAAGGTCCCTTACTAGCATTTCTGGCTGTGTGCCTGCTGAAAGCAAAGCCCCATTAGTGTGAGGTACAAGTCACTGCCCCCCACCCCCTCCCAAAGAGAGATCAGCAGTCAAGACCCCATTCTTAGCCAGGTCAACAAGAGTGTAAATCCTGCATACACAGGGCATGTAGTCACAGTTCCCTGGCTGGATTTCTTAGTGCTTAGAGTTCCAACAAGCTTCTCACCAGCATAGCTCTAGTCCTGTGAAAAACACCATCAGTGGTACACTTCTAAAGGCTGGAGAGATGGCTCACTGGTTAAGAGCACTAGCTGCTCTTGCAGAGGACCAGGGTTCAGATCCCACAACCACACGATGCCTAACAACCATCCTTAACTCCAGTTCCAGAAGAGTGTATCAGCATACTCTTCTGACCTCTGTGGGCATTGCACGACCTGGGTACACTTGTATACGATACACTCATGCACAAAAAATAATTTTTTTTAAAAAATATAAAATAAGGGGGGTGTGATGGTGCTCGGCTTTAATCCCAGCACTTGGGAGGCAGAGGCAGGCGGATCTCTGAGTTTGAGGCCAGCCTGGTCTACATAGCGAGTTCCAGGTCAGCTGGGGCTACAGGGAGAAAGACCCTGTCTCAAAAAGACCCCCCCCCAAAAAAATATATACAAAGCTGAGCCCGTACGTGGTGACTCACATTGCAATAACTAGAAAGGCATGAGGTTTTAAGCTAGCCTGGCCTACAGAATGAGTCTTAGGACCCAGGGGCAACAGTCTCAAAACAAAATTCACAAGGCTGGGAGTGGTGGTACTCAGGATTAATTTCAGCAGAGACAGGCAAATCTCTGTGAGTTCCAGGCCAGCCAGTGCAACCTGAGACCTGGTCTCAAAAAACCCCCAAACCAAACCAAATTCAACAAAAAGCCTCAAAAACATAAGGCTGAGTAAATTGGTCACGTGTTAACTGTCAGGTGCTAGAGCAAATTCAAGACAAGGATCTTTCTTTTCCTCTTGGATCTATCCACCTAACTCGCCCCCAAATGCACCCGGAAAGGGCTCAGCGCCCTCCACCGCTTTCTCAAACCCTCTCGACCCCAGGCCCCTGAAGGTGGGCCCCATCCGTCTGTCTGCTGCGGGCTCTAAGGAAACAGCTTTGCCTACCTCCCACCATAATTTAACATTGCTCAGAGAGTCCTTGGTGCCTTATCTTATCCGCCCCCCCAGCCCCCAAAAGCCATTCTCCTGTTTAACCCTCCTAAAAAAAGAAATTTAACTGGAAAGCTTCCAGAAAGTTGGTAAGAAATAGTTCAGGTTAAAATGAAGCGTAAGATTTCTTGTTAAGCTTTTTGTTTTTGACCACTGTAGACAGACTGCGGGGGAAACGCTGCCCGACCACGTTGGCACGTGGCCATAAACTGGCCCTAGGAGCCCCAAGCATCCCTAAGCAGTGGACGCTGCAGTTGATCTTTTTTACTTTTTATTTCTCTTTGATCCAATGTTTTCTCCCTAGTGGAAGCTAAGCTCCCCGACCCTCCTCTGGTCTACAGCCCAGGCAGGTCTCCAACTAACTTGCTTAGTATAGGATGACCTTGAACTTCTTTGGGTCTTCCTCCGCCTCCACCTCCCTAGTGTTGGGTTTACAGGCATGTCCCCGGTCTAGCTGTGTTCCTATCAACAAGCAATGTGAGAAAGGCAACGGCCTTTTGAGTTCCCAAACCCAGGTGGGCGAGGTCAGTCGCTGGCTTACCTGAATCTTTGGGCGAATTTTCTTCGTAGGATGTCAGAAAAGACCCGAGGGTCCCGGGTGGGTTAAACATGTCTGATGGTTCCATGGCAATGGCAGAAGCCTCGAAACACCTCCAAATAAAACTGCAATTCCTAGAGAGAAGGAAGTCCCAAACTCCACACCGCAGAGGACAAGCTCAAAGGCACGTGAGGTTTCCTTTTAAACTGCGGATGAGCCAATCTGCCAGGCTATTTTAATGTTAATGAAGCAATGACTTAAGGATAAAAAGATCCAGGTGAGTTAAGGGCGTGTACTCTGGGCTGATGGGATAAAGCTCCAAGTGTTCTGCTTTAAAACAATTCCATCCCTTGTCAAAAAAAATGAAAATTTTGCTGAGTCCACATGCCTTTAATCCCAGTATTTGGGAGGCAGAGGCAGGCAGATCTCTGTGAGTTGGAGGCCAGCCTGAACTACATAGGGAGTACTAGAGCAGCTGATGCAAACTGGGAGACCCTGTCTCAAAACACACAAACAAAAGGCTGGAAATATTATCCAGAGCTCCCTTAAATATCAGGGTGTTTTGTGTTGTTTTCCACACTACTCCAGGAGTCCCCTATGGATCTGTGAACTGTGTTTAAGAGTTCTAGAATAGGCAGGTTTCACCCCAGCTGTCAGTTAACTCCTAATTAAGTTAATGAGAACGTTCTCCTCAAGTTTTGTTTGCCTGGTCATGTGTGGCCTTAGAAGCCTTTAATCCCAGCACTTCAGAGGCTGAAGCTGGAGGATCTCTGTGAGTTCTGGGCCCACCTGGTCTACCTAAGGAGTTCCAGGCCAGTGAAGGACTGCATAGTGAGATTTTGTCTCAAAAATCCCCCAAGTTTTCCTCACCTGCCTCATTTTAAATCTTTAAAACCTGTTTCTCCTTAAATGCTACTAAATAAACAATTATCTAAATAAATAAGTGTATATTTGAAGTATTAAGATAATTTATCTGTATATTCTTAGGCATGTGTTTTTATTATATAATTGTGATTTATTCCATAAACTATTTAACTGCAAAGTTTCTTTTCTCTCTTTCTTTTTTTTATTTTTTATTTTTTAAGAGACAGGGTCTTGGTAGAGCCCAAGGTGGCCTGTAACTTTAAATCCAAACTCACCCTCCACAGTGCTACGATTTTAGGTGTAGGCCCACACAATGGCTATACCTAACATTTCTGAACAACTAAAATTAACTTTAGCCAGGCACAGTGGCTCACATCTGTTGAGGCAGGAATATCCATTTGAGTTCAAAGTGAGCTTGAGCTACATCCACGACTGGACAAGTCACAAGGGCTAGTGTGAGACCTTCACTCATGAAAAAAACAACAGCCGGGTGTGGTGGCACACGCCTTTAACCCTAGCACTTGGGAGGCAGAGGCAGGCGGATCTTTGGGAATTCGAGGCTCAGCCTGGTCTACATAGTGAGTTCCAGTACAGCTGGGGCTACAGGGAGACCCTGTCTTAAAAAAAAAAGACAAAGAAAAAAAACAAACAAAAAAACAAACAACAAACATGGTTTGGTGGTACCTGCCTTTAGTCCCAACACTAAGGAGGCAGAGACAGGCAGATCTGTAAGATGGAGGCAGCCTGGCCTACATAGTGAATTCGAGGCCAACTGGGCTACAGAGAGACCCTGTCTCAAAAACAAAAACAAAACAGAACAAAAAAGGTCAATCAATAAATAATAAAATTAACTTTATAGACTGCTATCTGTCCACTCCAAAAATACTTGAATTGAGTTCTGCCAAAGTATACCAACATGGCCTACTGATTGCAGAAAGTAGACCAAGGCCCTAGGTTCCCAAGTTTTGTTGTTTTTGTTTTGAGACAGTCCCACCAGGTAGCCTTGGGTAGCCTGGAACTCAACAAACTGGCCTTGAATTTCCAGAGATTCTCCTTCCTCTGCCTCCCACCAGCTGGAGTCAAAGTCCTGCGCTATCCCCCGGAATCCTGGTCATTGCAGAATACTTTATTCAAATGTTTCTCAGTTGTGCTTTCTAGAGGGCTACAGTCCTCAAACCAGGATAATTTGTTTGATATGCAAGTTTTCTAGATCCAGCCCAGGCCTACAGAATCTTCTTTGATATGCAAAATCTCAAACTCCACCCTGGACCTGTGGAAGGAAAGGCTGGGGTTCAGTTCAGTTGTAACCAGCTGCTAGGTGCTTCTGATGCACAAAGCAGAGTTTGAACAGCACAACTGTGGCACCACCAACCTGCTGAGCTGGTTCTGCTCTCTAATGGTTCTTCCCCTTGCTTGAAAACATCTTCAGTGTCTGAGCATTCCATTGGAGAACGAGCAACAGTGGGGTCAAATAGACTCTCAGGGCCATTGGTTGTAGCTCAGCTGAGAATGCACTTGCCTAGCAAGCATGAAGCCTTGGTCTCAGTCCTCAGTCTTGCAAAAAGTAAAAAAAAAAAACCAACCCTATGAGATCACATAACTTGTCTAACTTGTCCAGTCATGTTATTTATTTATTTATTTTTTGGTCTTTTTTTTTTTTTTTTTTTTTTTTGTTTTTTTTTTTTTTTTTTTTTTTGGTCTTTTTGAGACAGGGTCTCTCTGTAGCCTAGCTGGCCTGGAACTCACTATGTAGACCAGGCTGGCCTTGAACTCACAGAGATCCGCCTGCCTCTGCCTTCCAAGTGCTGCGATTAAAGGCGTGCACCACCACGCCCGGCTATTTTTTGGTCTTTTTGAGACAGGGTCTCCCTGTAGTCCCAGCTGTCCTGGAACTCACTAGGTAGACCAGGCTGACCTGGACTCACAGAGATCAGCCAGCCTCTGCCTCCCGAGTGAAGGGATTAAAGACGTGTGCCACCATGCCCTGCTCATCCTAAAAATTAAAAAAAAAAAAAAAGCCAGGTGAGGGGGTGCACGCCTTTAATCCTATAGTGAGTTCCAGGACAGCTGGGGCTATATGGAGACCCTGTCTCAAAAAGACCAAGAAAAAAATTGTTTTTTTTTTTTTTTTTTTAAGAAAAATGATATTTATTGCCAGGTATGGTGGCGCACACCTTTAGTCTCAGCACTTGGGAAGCAGAAGCAGGTGGATCTCTGTGAGTTCAAGGCCAGCTTGGTCTACATAGTAAGATCCAGAGATTCAAGCCAGGTGGGGCTACAGGGAGACCCTGTCTCAAAAAAGACCAAAAAAAAAAAAGAAAGGAAAAAAAAAGTGAAAAAAGACATTATTTATTTGTGGCCATGTGGTATGTGGTGGCAGAGGACAACTTGTGGGTCTCGGGGATGGTACTTGAGTTCTTGGTCTCAGCAGCACTTGCCTTTATCTGTGAGCCGTCTCACAAGCCCTGTGTATACAGAGTGATGGACAGACTAGATATGAAACCAGTGCTTGGTAAGTAAACTAACACAGAAGGGCAGCTACACCTCAGGGGTTGCAGAGGAGAGGATCTAAAATGAGATGTAATGACAATGCTGTGCACCTCATGTAGTGCGCTGGCATTTGGTGTTTTAAAATTTTTATTTATGCACATGTGTGTTTGTCTATGTGAGTGTATGCCAGGTGTCCAAAGGTGCCCATGGAGGCCAGGAGAGGGCGTTGGATATCTAGAGCTGGAATTCCAGGTGATTGTGACTCTCTTGAAATGGGTACTGGGAATAGAACTCATGTATGCTGGGGAGATTACCACTGAGCTACATCCTCAGCCCATTTTGTGGTTTTGAAAGTTAAGCAGTGTGGTGATATATGCCTGTAATCCCAGCACTGAGAGGCTGAAGCTGGAGGATTACTGGGAATTTGAGGCCTGCCAGGGTTATAAAACAAGACCCTGTCTCAAAGAACCATAAACAACGAAAAAGAAAGCTAAAAGAAAAAAAACAACTGTGACAATTATAAAACATGTCTGACTCAGTGGTTAAGAACACTATCTGCTTTTGCAGAGGACCCAGGTTCTGTTCCCAGCACCCACTTGGCAGCTAACAACTGTCCATCACTCCAGTTCTGGGGACTCCAGCGCCCTCTTCTGACATCCATGGGCATTGCATGACATGGGTGCACTTACATACATGCAGGCAATAAACTCATACACATAAAAAAATAAAAATAATGTGGGGATGGTGGCATACACCTTTAATCCCAGCACTTGGGAGGCAGAGGCAGGTGGATCCCTGTGAGTTCAAGGCCAGCCTGGTCTACATAGTGAGTTCAGGTCAGCTGGGACTACAGGGCGACCCTGTCTCAAAAAGACCCCCCAAAAAAATTTACGTGTATGAATGTATTGCCTGCATGTGTGCAAGTGCACACGTGTTGTGCAATGCCAAAGGAAGTCAGAAGAGGGTGTTGGGTTCCCCTGGAACTGGAGTTACAGACAGTTGTTAGCCACCATGTGGGTACTGGGAATCAAACCCAGGTCTTCTGAAAGAGCAACCAGTGCTCTTGACCACTGAGCACTAATTTTCTCCAGCCCCTAATTTTTATTTTTTATGAGACATGAGTGTTTTGTCTGCATATAAGTAAGTAAGTATATCATGTGGTTTCAGAGTCCATGGAGGCCAAAAGAGGGCATTAGATCCCTTGGAACTGGAGTTATTAACAGTTGTTAGCTGGAAACTGAACCCAGGTCCCCTGTAAGAGCAGTAAGTGCTCTTAACTGTTGAACCATCTCTCCAGCCCCTTGTTTTTAGAGACAGGGTCTCCCTATTGAGACAGGCTCTCAGTCTTTAGGCCTAGTACTTGAGATGTAGACCAGGCTGGCCTTGATCTCATTGGGGGTCACCTACCTCTGCCTCCCCAAGTCCCGGGATTATAGACATGTACTACTACTATATGTGGGGCTTTTGCCTTTTTTGTTTTGTTTTGTTTTAGAATTCAGTATTAAGACTTCAAGTTTCTTGACTAAGCAACTTTTCATTCAAATCAAGTACTGCCCTGAATTTGCAATAGAGATGCAATAGCTAAATTTTACCTATCTTTTTGAGTTCCTGGCAAGGCAGTTTCAGAGACTTCCATCATGGGAGAGAGGTTATGTCAGAGAAGAGCAGCTCACATTACAGGAAGCAAAGGAGAGATTCCCAGCACTCACATGCATGGTGGGCTAACAATGGTTC